ACAATTATAAAAGTCTTTACTGAATAAAACACAGAATTTTCCTCATTTCTATGTATTTTCTTTCTTAGAACTGACTAATAATTATTTCAATGAAAAATACATATGTAAAAAATAAAATAGAATTTTTTGGTTTCAAGGGTACAATTAAGTTTATGTTAAAGATAGCTTTTCACAATAGCTTTGCCTATAATGCCAGGGAGAAGAAAATACTCAAAATGAGTTTTCTTTTATTCAAAAGAAAATTGCTAATAGTTTTGTGTTAATGGTTCTTAGGGTACTGACCTGATTAAATATTTGAAATCTCTTAAAGGTATTTGATATCTGTATAATTTTCCTCTCTGTAAACAATCAAGCCACCATGGATCACACCCAGGAATATAGTTCAATGCAATTCAAAACCAAGATGTATTCAAAAGTCATAGTATGTGGGCACATGTTCTTCATGCAGCTGTGAGCAAACGCCCACCCAGGGGTCACTCGCTGCTCATTTAAGCAACTGTTATTTCTCCCTGGCCTTTGATTGGGCACAGCATTTCTTCTTTTTTCCTTTGATACTGATAGTGCAGAAATAAATCACAGTATGTGAAATGACCACCTGATGGGTGAGGACCCTGGAAGCTCAGAGAGGTGAACTACTTTGGTTAGGACATATAGGAAGCAGTGCTGAGGGCAGCATTAGTATTTGATAGTCCACTATCTCCCCTTTCTTAGTCCACCTGATTGGAGAGTGGCTTGCAGCAAAGGCTACCTGATCAACATAGCCTGCTATCACTGTGTTCTTGCACAGATGAATGTCAAACTTACTATTTTGTTACATGATTATGGAGCCTGAAATCTCTAGTTTATGATCTTTTTACCTCACCCTTTTTTGTGGCTTGATTTAAGTCAATTGAATATGTAAAATATGATTTCATAAAAATATTATGATTATTCTCAATGCAAAAGTTAGCTTTACTTGACAAAAGAGTGTTCTTTAAATAATGAGCTCTCCTACTGCCTTAGAGTTAATTAGATGTTCAAATATATGATGAATACCCACTGTTTTCAGAAAAGCACATACAGATAAAATGTGATATACATATTTGGCTCAACCAAAGGTGAAGACAAATCTTCAAGATTGTTTTAGTTGTTCTCTTTTAACATAAAATTTAGTTGACTACCACTTACACTCATTTGTATATATTCATCTATAATTTTTATAACTCTGTAATTCAAAGTAGAATATTTCAAAAATCTTGAAGCTAATAATAAATTCAAAAGATTTGGTAAAGCTTTAGAACAGCTCAAAATTATAAACTCACAGAGTTCCATAAGAGGTTAAGTGGTGCTTTGTCAAAAATATTTATTTGATCAAGTGAATGTAGAGATTAGAAACCTTGAGAATAAAAAAGACTTTAAAAATATACGGTATTCAAAAAATGTATACATACTTTAACAGCTGATAGCTCAATATTGAAAATGAAGTGTATTTTAATAAACACTGCCTTTATAATCATTCAAAGTGTGTGCATGCATTTTTTGGGACACCCGATATATATACTATATATGATTAAGAAATACTGATATAATGAGAAACTGAAGAGTGCCAAAATTAAACAAATATTTTAGTTATATTACTTTTTCTCTTCAAACCAGACTGGAATTAAAGTTAACACTATATGATTTTGGTATCTTAATACCAACAGTTCTAGGATTTAAGCTTTCATTTTCTTCCATCAAAAGACTTCTCTAGATTACTGGGTGGTTGTGTTTTTTGTTTTTGTTTTTTTTTTGTTTTTTTGTGGTAACTTACAGAATGGGCCTGTCTGTAGAGATAAAGGTATATATAAGAGATATAAAATATATGTTCAATTTACAGATGCACTAAACAGAAGCAAGGATATGAAATGCTTCAGCAGCCATTACAATGTACAGAGACAAATATGCACATGAATTTACAACACGATTAAGGCAAGATAAAAAATGAGCAACTCTCACTTTCAAGTAACAGAAACTTAAAACTTTAAATTTTGATGAATTTTGTTAGCTTAAATTTCTCAACATGCAGGAGCATTCTTAAATATGAATATGACAAGCAGAAGCATTAGAATTGTGCTACAAAAAATAGTGTAAAATATATAACAAGGTACAGATCTCTGTCCTGTTATGCTGAATTTTCTTCTCAATGAAAAAATGGATTTTTTAGGTTTTAACATACATATTAATAAAGGTCAAATTAGAGACAGAGCTGTGCTAACAAAAAATGGCCCACTCTTAATTCATGCCTCTGCCCATCTTTTAAATAGTGTTTAATTGACCTTTAGCATGCAGAAGTTATCAAGGTTCTACTCCTACTCTACCTAAGTTTGCTCAGCTGATTCCTTGCCCTTGACAATGGCTGCAGTGCGATGAACTCGTCACTTAAAGCAACTGTGTTGGAGTACATCTATAAGTGGACAGAAAAGGGATGGGACATACAAAGAGTCAGTGAGCTGTATTCATCACCTGAGAGACAGACACAGGACAAGCTATATAAAGACACATCTGTCCCTGTAAGAGCAGGAAATATCATACATCGCATATATACATGACTGAAATTTGTAGGGTTATTCGCTTTCTTCATGCCTAACACCACACTGTTATTCTGGAGTAAAACGAAGTGCAAAATAAATGCTGACAACTTTTCTTTTGATATGATTTTTCTTGATATTTCTGGTAAACAATAAAGTGGCTGACAACTTTCTAATTATTCTTCATCATGTGAACTCAGAGGTCAAAGTGTAAGACTGAAATAATAAAGATTACTGCTTACAGCAAAGGAATAATGTTACACATGAGATCTGAATGGCCATATACTGTTGAAGGAAAAAAACAAAACACAAAAGATTCCTGAGTGAAGCAGAGATTTCCTCTTTGGATTAGAAAACAGAACACTGTCAAGTCATTTGAAAGTAAAAAAGGGAGATTATGGCAGCTTTCACACACAGATAGAATGAGTGACTTATTACACATTCCATTCTTAATCAATTTTAACTTTTGGTTAAAGAGCCACAATATAAATAAAGCACTTTTAACCTTTTTTTGTCTAAGAATCCTCAAGGTACAAAATATTTCTATGTAATCCTTTAGAAAGAGGCTATCAAAAAGGTAACAAGAACTAATATTATCACCTTTATTATTAAGAAGTCTATGAAAATACATCGTAATTTGCAAATGCACTGCCTATTATAGAATTTCTAAAGGTAAATGTAAATAAATCTAATTATTTACTTTTATAAAGAACAAAGTTTTGCCTGGCCGGGGTGGCTCAGTGGCTGAGTGTCGACCCATGAACCAAGAGGTGACCGGTTGATTCCCGCTCAGGGCACATGCCTGGGTTGCAGGCTCTATTGTGCAAGAGGCAGTAGATCAATGATTCTCTCTCATCAGTGATGTTTCTATCTCTCTCTCTCAAATCAAGAAAAACATAAAAAAAATAAGAATAGTTTTTAAAGTGATGTCATTAATATATTTTGGTGAAACATAACTTTCTATAGACCAAAGGGGAAGACCAATGTGTAATCTTCATAAAGGTCTATAAAAAGTATAATAGGCAATTATTAAAAATATTCTTCTGTTACTGTAAATATTTATCTCTTAAGATTAAAAAAAGGTAGGTAAACTTTTCTGATATATATTTAAGTAATGGACTACAGAGTAGAAAAGTTTTTCCATACTGATATAAATATATGCATATGTAATCAGATTATGACAATTATTTAACCTTATTTGGAGATCAATTATCACAGAGCCACATCCTCATCATTCTTGTAATTATGTTTTTTTAAAAACTGATTTCAGAGAGATAGAAGAAAGGGAGGGGAAGAGAGGGGGGGAGGAAAGAAGGTAGGAAGGGAGAGAGTGAGATATATATTAATTTGTTGTTCCATTTATCTATGTATTGTTGGTTGTTTCTTGTATGTGCCCTGATAGAAGGCTAATTATGTTTTTACTGAGGACTTACTATATACAGGCCCAGGGTTACATGTTTTATATTCATCATCTCTAAGAATCATGTATGACAGTAGTTATTATTCTGATTTTACAGAGGAGGAAATTGAGGCTTAGGAAAATGACTTGATTAAAGGCACACATAAATGGTTAAAACAGCATCTGAATTAAGTTTGCCAGGCTTCGGGGGCCTATGCTGCTTCAATGGTGTTAAAATGTATATTGGTTAGAATTGAGTTACCAAAGCAAATAAAGGCTAAAGAAATGTTGATATGATCACTGAAATTAAAGCCAATGCTGCCCTGGCCGGTAGCTCAGTGGTTAGAGTGCCGGCCTAAGCACCAAAGGGTCACGGATTTGATTCCTGGTCAAGGGCATGTACCACTGTTGTAGATTGGATCCCAGGCCCTGGTTGGAGCACGTGTGGGAGGCAACCAATTGATGTGTCTCTCCCACATCGATGTTTTTTCTCTATTTCTCTCTCTTTCCCCTCCCTCCCACTCTCTCTAAAAATGGAAAAAATATCCTCAGGTGAGCATTCACAAAAAAGCACCACAAAACAAAACAAACAAAAACCCCAATGCACCACTTAGGAAGCCTAACTCAATCCTTACTTAGGGAATACATTCTATTTATAGAATATGTAACTAAATTTCCAAATTTAGATTTAAAAAATCCCAGTGTTTATTTCAGCATAAAAGCTAATTAGAATGTATTCTTGAGCCTATGGGTTCAATGCTATGGTATAGTAATAAGACAAATTAATCAGATAGAATTCTGGCTCATGTACAAGTCAAATATACAAACAAGGCACAGGCAACTAAATAGCTTCTATTTCTTAAGCATCTACTATGTCTCAGGAGTCATACAATTAACAGAAATAACTTTAAAAAGATCAGACTTAATATTTACACTGTAAAATGCTTAATACAGAAATGAGTAATTTATTTTCTGATATAAGCAAATTATAATGATAGCTATTCATTGTTAACGACCCCTAAATAAAAGATTTTGTATATAAAAATGGTTACCTGTGCCTTTTCAGTATTTGTAGGATGGAAATGTCTGTCAAATACTTTCTTCACAATATCAAGAAACAGACATATAACCACCATGAGGATTATAGCAAACCAAACAGAACCACTTGATAGGAGCTGAAAAAATACAAAGTACATATTCTGGGAGTCTGAAAATGGCCTGCAAAGAAAGGAAGCGGGATTAATAAAAGTAGAAACTGATAAGGGTTTCTTAAATAAAGTCATGTGGTTTTACATGTGCGTTTACAAACCCACTATATTTGCAGGTTTACGATTTAATTTGGAATACAAGTTTGGGATAACGTTCAAAATTTAGAACCAGTAATTAATTAAATCTATACTAACAAAAGGGTAATATGCTAATTAGACCAGATAGACCGGACGTCTTCCAGACAAAGCCATGGTGGTGGGGGCCGAGGCAGAGGTGTTTGGGGGCGATCATGCAGGCAGGGGAGCAGTTAGGGGCAATCAGCAGCAGGGGAGCAATTAGGGGTGATCAGGCCGGCAGGCAGGGGAGCAGTTAGGGGCAGATCAGGCTGGCAGGGGAGCAGTTAGGGGCAATCAGGCCAGCAGGGGAGCAGTTAGGGGTGATCAGGCCGGCAGGCAGAGGTGGTTAGGGGCAATCAGACAGGCAGGCAGAGGCAGTTAGGGGCGATCAAGCTGACAGGGGAGCAATTAGGAGCGATCAAGCCGGCAGGCAGGGGAGCAGTTAGGGGTGATCAGGCCAGCAGTGAAGCAGTTAGGGGTGATCAGTCAGACAAGGGAGCAGTTAGGGGCAATCAGGCCGGCAGGGGAGCAATTAGGGGCAATCAAGCTGGCAGGGGAACAGTGAGGGGCGATCAGGCTGGCAGGGGAGCAGTTAGAGGTGATCAGGCCAGCAGGGGAGCAGTTAGGGGCGATCAGGCTGGCAGGGGAGCATTTGGGGTGATCAGGCCGGCAGGGGAGCAGTTAGGGGTGATCAGGCAGGCAGGCAGTTAGTATGGAAAATAATCCTATATAATAGTATGGAAAATACTATGTCCAACTGCCGGTTTAGGCCCGATCCCACAGGGATCGGATATCCCCGAAGGGGTCCCGGATTGGAGAGGGTGCAGGCCGGACTGAGGGACCCCCGCCATGCACAAATTTCGTGCACTGGGCCTCTAGTAACTAATAAAATAAGACAGACTTTAATTATTAAAAATAAAATTCAATTTAATTACTTTCAATGACAACTATAGTTTTTATTAGGAAAGTGGCAAGTAGTTGACTAGATAACTCTTATCTTAGTAGGATATCAAAAGAATTACTTAGTAATACAGACTTAAGAGAGCAATAAACACAAGAAAAAGTATGCAATAAAATATTCTCTACTAAGCAATTAAAAGATCGACTATCCAAATCTTAGGTTGAAAAGTTCTACTTAGAGGTTCTTCTCTACAAATATATTTAAAAATGGGGAAACAGAGAAAGAAATGAAAAAAATAAAGAACATTAAAAACAAACATTATAAACAAAGTGTTATTCATAAGAGTATCCTTCTATGGTCCTAAGTGGAAGATAATTATTTAGTTAATCTAAGTTTTTTTGCTTATCTTCTATAATTTTTTGCCCAATACAGGGATCAAAGGCACAGCAGGCAAATGTATTATAAATTCTCCATATGAGACTTTAGTTGTTCATCACTTATAAAAGACTCTTAGAAGAGGCATTAATTTTTAATCTATCATAGTAGCTGAAAATATAATTGGTAATTTACCAATGAAGATGAAGCATACTATTTAGTTTTAACAGAAAAGTTGTCATTCATGAAAACTTAATGGCTCAATGTGACTTTATAGTATGTACATTAGTAAATAATTTAGAGAAAATATGGTTAGTGTTAAGGACATTAAGTGTGGAATAAAACAATTGGGGTTTAAATACTAGCTTTGTTCTTTTTTAACCTTTGGAATCTTGGGGGTCAGTTTCCATATAGAAAATATGGAGAGTATAAGATTATAGTGATGAATCAATGTAATATCTTAGGTAAAACACCTAGAACATAATATTCAGTAATTGTTAGTTTCTTTTTTACTCTATATCAGTAAGATCAACTGAAAGATGTAAATTTGTAGGACCTCAAGATTATTTGTTCAAAATAAAATCTATCACAACACAGGGGTGGGGCAAAAAAAGGTTTACAGTTGTGAATACACTAAAGTTTATTCTTCTAGAGGCCCGATGCACAAAATTCGTGCAAGGGGCTCGGCCCTCACAGCCCCTCACAGCCTGAGCCGGCCCTCGCAGCCCCGGCTTCATCCAGAAGGTCGTTCTGCTGTTCGGTTTAATTAGCATATTAGCTCTTTATTATATAGGATTATTTTCCATACTAATAACTGTAAACCTACTTTTTCCCACCCTGTATTTATTAGAGTTGAATCAATGTAATTAAAATACAATATAATCACTCACCAGAGAATCCCTCCATAAAACAAAGAAAATACAAAATAGAATATAATGGATCCCCAAGTAACAAAATGGTTGATCCAGGTCCAAAAATGAGTTTCCAAAGCCATCTAAAAGGAAAAAAATGTTTAAATCCTTAATACAAGTCTTTAACCTCCAAGATAAAAATCATGAATGAAATATATTAATTATAAGTGAGTAAGGTTCCTATGCCAAAGTTTCTTAGAAGATAAATATTAATGCAAGGATCCTAGTATGAAACTGAACAATTAAAGTTTATAATATTTTTTCTTCTGTGAGAAAAAAGCATTGAAATTTCATGAATATTTTCAACTCGATTGCCTGAAACAACTTGTGTTGTCATGTATTATATACAGAGAAGCAAAATTTCAGAGATGAGTACTGTGGGGTTAACCTTTATTGACCATAATAATCAGCAGAGGGTTTTCAAAATAATGAACTTAAAAAAAGATTTTTGACAAAAATGAATTATTAAATAGCAATCAGTAAAATTATTCATGACTAAAGAAGGAAAAAGGAAAAATATGCATCTATGGCTAAAGAAATTTAACTATGAATTATACATATACAAAGTGTGTTCATCTGTCTAATTTCTGTGCCATACCTTTACTGTGACTGTAATAAGCATTACTGTGAAGACCAAGGTGCCAAATGTCCAGTTACCAAACATCTAAACAGAAAGAATAAACCATTATTGCACTATGTGTCACCATGATGCTAAGTTGGTAGTAAAGCAGAAAGTAACTTCATTCTTTACTAAAAGCATTTGAATTATTTAAGCCAGTTACATTTGAAATCTATGACTAGATTAGTAAAGTTAAAGGAGTATGAGAAGAAACACCATAAGCATTACTATGTTTATTATTATTATCCATTGCATAACATTATCAGACTGAAAACCCAAGATGGGTTTGGAATTATGTAGCACAGACTGTTTTTATTTAGAACGATATAGTGACTGCTTCATTCCTGTCACACAGTAAAAGTGATAACAAAACCCTGTTTGATCACAATTATTTTTTATAACCATTCCAACCAGAAGTTACACCAGATAACTTGCCACTGTATTTCTGGACATGGCATAGACAGAGCAGGAAAAAAAACATTACACACAAAACCAATACCTGAAAGATAATGGCTAACAGAATTACTCCTCAAGGATTCCTTGTAAAAATGGTGATAATGTAAGTCAGAAAGTATTCCCCTGGGCTTTTTTTATAGTAAAAACTTACCTAATTTATTACAAATGCAGAATCCCCAAAGAATGTCAGGATTTAAGTTCCACAAATAAGAGCATAACTAGAAGTTTATGTTAACTTAGTTCATAAAGTAGTCATAGTCTTTACTATTGGTTTAAAAATTACTTAAAAGGCTCTGTTTTGTTATCACAGATTTCTAACAATTAGCATTTACTTGAAAAATTACTTAACATCTCTGTATCTCACTTTTTTCATTTGTAAAATGAGGGAAAATCTTATAGGTTTTTATAATTAGGGTCTGCAAAAAGGATAGGATGCCTGATAAACAGCAATCTATAAGTAATAGTTATCAACAATAAAATATCAATTAATATTCTTTTATTTAAGGGTATTAGGGGAGTTTATCGGTTAAAAGAATGAAAAGGCATAATGAATCCCTCCTTTTTCTGTTTTTATCATCTCTAGAAATTACCTGGAAATACTGAAAAACAGTGGGTCTCACTCTACTCAGCTCTTGGAGGAGTGCCAGTCTCCTCTTTCAGGGCTATGTGGACAGATATTAAATGCAGCCAGAGAACCTGTGCCTGGATGTGGTAATAACTGCACATGTCTTATCCCTCAGTACAGTATCTGGTTTTACAGGGGCCAGTTACATGGAATCTTTCTTAGAAGCAGAGCTTATTTAGGGCTTCTTCTTGCATTCAAGGCCCAGGGGAGCTATAAAAACACATTCACATGTTGCTGTTGTTTTTTTGTTTTTTTATGAAATTAGTAAAAGTAATGTATTTCAACTGCAATTAATCAGCTAAGACTACTGCATCTTTCCATTCTGACTTCCTCTTGAGTTGGTAATGAAGTGAGTGGCAGAAGGCATTTTGGGGATCTGGCTGAAGAGAAGTTAGTTGGGCTTATTATACTGGCTTGGGTTAAGTGGGACCTATTTGTATCAGTCAGTTATTTTCAAGTATACTTAAGCTTGTACTTGTATGTTCTTTTCCCCTTAAAGAAGGCCTGCCAAAATGTGTAAAGTTTAAACTCTACTAACCTTAGCTCTACCCCTGCTCAGAAGACACAGATGCTCAAAACACTTTCTATCACTATTTGCTTATTTTTTGGATAACTTCTTCTAACTGAATTTGTTACCTAATTATTTAATAAAGCCCAGTTAAAAAGGCTCATTCATTATTCATTTGTATACTCAGCAAATAGAAATTGAGTATCTATTATATGCCAAGTACCATTCTAGGCCTTGGGAATAAAGCAATGATAAGACAAAATTGCTGACCTCATGGAGTTTACACGTAGTGGAGGAGACAGATAAACAAACTAAAAATATATACCTTGAGGGACAGATTAGTGCTATGCAGAAATGTAAACGTACAGTAAGGGGCCAGTAAGTGATGAAAGGTGAAAGAGACAGCATTTTACGGGAGTGGGCTAGAAAGGCTTTCTTGAGCCAGTGATATTTCAGCAAACCATGTGAGAGAAAAGCATCCCAGAAGATAAACCGGAACAAATTGGTCTGTTCAAGTGACAAGAAAATCAGTGTGGCTTATAATAAAACACTAAATGATTTTGAGCAGATTAGATAGATGATCATATTCTCATTTCTAAAAGATCATGTGGACTGCTGTGTGAACAGCGGGAAGGGCAGAAAACTCTGTAGGGCTGCCTAAGCATACCAAAAAAATAATTCATGCAATTAAAAGCAAAAAAAAAACTAAACACTAAATCCTCATTTCTCATCTAAAAAGGGTGGGTCATAGTATCTCTCCAACAGATTTATTGTGAGGATTAATGGATATGGGGTACGTAAAGAGCTTAGCACAAAGTAAGCACTGAATAAACAGTAGCTATTACTAAAAACACAATTCTGGAGTGAACAGCAGCATGCAGGGGCATGAATATATCCCCTTGTATTTTTGAAGAGCAAAACTGCCTGGTACCCTGAGCTTCATATTAAGATTACATTGTATTGCCTTTTTGTTTTATTTTTGATTTGCATAAAATTTTATCAAGTAAAAAACGTTAAAACCTTTTTATAATTGCATTTTAATTTAATATCTGCAATTTCATAATTTAAATTGAGTTTCATTTTAATTTTTTTTATTTTATTGTTTAAGGTATTACAAATAGTAATACATATGTCTCCTTTTTTTCCCCCATTGACCTCCCCCCGTTATCAAAAACCAAATTAAATCAAACCATTAACAATTTTTAAAAACTATAAATTTTACCTGGCCATTTCCAAGCAGAGATATATCTTTCCCCATTAGAAAATAGGATCCAAAAAAGAAAATGAAGGCATGACTGAAACCCAGGATGGTCCAGTAAAGAAAATTTGTCATGCTTAGTTGACGGTTTTTACTAATGTCTCTGTACATTTTTTTTAAAAAAAGAGGAGAAAAAGGAACATATTAGGACTCATATTTATTATTTATCTAATCAATAGTCATTACAATCAAACCACTACTTGTAATAATATATAATTGCCTAACAACTTATAGGTCACACTAGAGGACTGGGGTTGTGCACCAGTGGGTCCCTCGGGCTGGCCTGGGGGAATTGGCCGAAACCGGCTCTCCGACATTCCTTGAGGGGTCCCGGATTTCGAGGGGGTGGTTCTCGGGTGACACACTCTGGAATCGGGCTCCCTCCTCTCTGGTTCTGGGTGCATCACCCGAGAACCACAGCTGCCAAGTCACCGCAGCTCAGCAGCTCCTGTGTTGAGCGTCTGCCCCTGGGTGGTCAGTGCACATCATAGCTATTGGTCGGACAGTCAAATGGTCACTTAGGCTTTTATACATATAGATAATACTTTCAAATTCATGTTCTCATTTGATAAAGAAATATGATATAGGCTAATATTTTAGTTTAATTGTAAAAAGTTGATTTATCTGTATTATATTCTGTTGTGAACATTCAGTCACTCTGCCATGATTGTTCTTTTTAATGGAGTCATTTGAGTTAGGTTCAGCACTGAGGCTCCCAATAGATTTCATGTCCATCAATAGCTATCAGAGAAAACCAATCTTTGCCAATCTTGGGTCAAGCCCAGTCCTAGATATCATGGGAAATCAAGGTTAAGTTTTTGCCATTTCTGGATAACTGAATGCCTCTATAAGAGTGGAGGTCAGATTAATGTGGAAATCAAACTGGTTCTGAGGAAAGTTCCACATCTCTGTGATTACTTGGTTCTGTGGAACCAGGACTTGGGCAGAGGATATGGGACAAGAATTAATGTCCCTAACCCTACATTTTAAATTGATTACTACTCATAAATTTGGCAATGCCTGAATATAAAAATCAGTATTTTAGAAACTCTAGAGCAGCCGTGGGCAAACTACGGCCCCGGATCCGGCCCGTTTGAAATGAATAAAACTAAAAAAAAAAAAAACCGTACCCTTTTTTGTAATGATGTTTACTTTGAATTTATATTAGTTCACACAAACACTCCATCCATGCTTTAGTTCCGGCTCTCCGGTCCAGTTTAAGAACCCATTGTGGCCCTCGAGTCAAAAAGTTTGCCCACCCCTGCTCTAGAGACAACCAATTACTGAATAACTTCATTTGTGCACATGAAATAAAATATTACTGGCTTACAACAGTAAATGCAAATTATACAACTGCTGCCTGATGCACTACTAAGATAAAAGTGTTCATTCCTAAAAACATTGGTAAAATTATTGTGTTCAACAATTATAAACCATACAACAACTAAAGTACTTTCCTTAATAAAGTATTAATCACCAAATATTTGCTTATTTTTAAAGTACTTTTAAAAACTGGTAACTTACAATCAGAAATGTTATGGACACTTAATACTGGAAAATACTTACCGATAGAGGGTGGGCTTGTTCTGTAATACATGAGGGTTTATATGCTGTTCCAGTAGACTATATATCAGAATAGGTAGGGAAGTAAAACAAATATTGTATAAAGTCAGGTACACGCTGTCATACAATGTCTAGAAAGAGAAATTGATTGGAATTTTGAGATTCTAAAGTATGTATTATTTATTATACTTATGCATATAAAAACAAAGAAGCATATGAAAATAAACAAAAATTATGTAGTTTTTTCCAATTTATACTAAAATCCATTTTAATAATCCCAATTTGTTTCTGACTTAAGCATTCACATATAATGTTCATAGATTTATATTTCTTGTAGAAATTGGAATATTTTATTATGCCAAATAATTCTGGAAATACAGTGATTTGTATCTACATTCCAGGATTCTCCACAATTTGGTCACTGTGATAAAATTTTACACAATTCTCCTACATGCTTCTAGGTTTCTTACTATTCTTTTGATATGTTACACATTTAGTTTTGCTTTCATGGTTTTGTCTTTGCATCTAAGTCCTACACTTCCTTTAAGGCATGATCCATGAAACTTTACACATTTATGATAGCTTTCTCTTCTAAACAGTCCTATGCGCTACAGGTAGTACTAATTTGTTTAGCACTTTGTCTATGCTTCACATATTGTTTTTATTGTTATTAATATTTTATCTTTAATTATACTGTAAACTCCCTGAAACTTAATCAAAATAGGTTAGTTCTCCTTGTCATATGCTCTTATAGCATTCTTTACTTCATTCAAGCAAGCAAACATTATTGGCAATCAATGCCTAAGGAGATATTTAGAATTTGAAGTTACGGATTGTAAACAGAGGAGAAAACAGTGAGTAAGGATAGAAAAAAATCATGAAAAACCTAAAATAATTAAGCTCTTGTTATTTCAATAAACTTAAACAAATGTCTTGATCAATTAGAGATGTATAGTGCGGTATGTGAAGAGGACACTCAATTAGTCAGAAGCAGTAGGTCCAAGTATGGTATAGTAATTATTAACTTAGCTATGAGAGCTTGGGCAAGTTACCGAGTCTCTGTGTATTTTAATTTCCTGTTTCATAAAGTAAGACAGAGTAGATCAGGAATGGGAAATATGTAACATGTGTATAGCTACTGCTAATCAAGAAAAGGGGTTTCCTTCTGAGCCTATGGCTTGAGAACCCCTTTCAATATAGTGCTCCTGGTAGTCCTGCCAATTATTTAATAAGCTTCTGAGATTAAACCTGTATGTCATCCCTAAACTCTACCACTAGGCAAGTAAGGTTCCTTCCAAATCTAAAAAAATTTATGAGTAAAAAAAAAAAAGAGGTAATACCCCCAACAATTTTCTGTCCCGGCTTGATATAGATTTTACAGAAATATTACATACACATAAGTTGAAAAATGTTACAAAATTATCTCAAACTGTTAAGTGTTAATACCCATTTTTAAAAAGTATCCAGAATTAAAATGTATTTTGGTATTAACACATTTCAAACTAAAAATCAGAATAAATGTTATGAATGCTATGCTGATTAAATACACTAATTAGAAAAGTTTTATCTAATTATAATAGGACTATGAAAAATTCCCACCAAGGATTTATCAAACACTGAATACACATAATTTATTCTGAAAGTATAAAAACAAAAGCTTCTATTTACTTACTTGTTGAGAAAACAAACAGTAGAACTGATATAAAAATTGGGGTGTGATAAAGCACACATTCTGAAAAACAAGATTAAATGGAAATAATTAAAATATTTAGGTCAAAAAGAAATTTTTTTTTAAATGACTAATGAGTCTAGAAACACAGTCTCCATTGATACGGAGAACAGAAGATCTGCCTGTAAGAACTTGTCCATATAAAACGGGAAAACAGAATTCCCATTTTATTAAAAAAATGTCTGAAAGTATTCCACACAGCACTGCAAATGTCAGAATAAAATGCTCTGAACTTGTATCACTGCCAAGCAATACCATAATTCTGAATTTATACCTTCCAATTATTATTTGATACTTTTCACATACAGTACAACAAGTAAGTTTTACTTCAACTTTGGGGTATAGTAGCTTTAAAATATTTAAAACAGAATAAATGGAACTGTCAAACATCTTTTGATTTCAATATACTTATGTCACAGCAAAACTATAAGCTAGGAAGAAAAACTGCCACCACCATTTATTAACAACTAGGATTCGTGCACCGGTGGGGTCCCTTGGCCTGGCTTGCGGGGATCAGGCCAAAACCAGCTCTCCAACATCCCCTGAGGGGTCCCGCATTGCGAGAGGATGGTTCACGGGTGACGCACGCTGGAATCGGGCTCCCTCTTCTCTGGTTCCAGGTGCATTACCAGAGAAACGCAGCTGCCAAGTCACCGCAGCTCGGCAGCTTCTGTGTTGAGCGTCTGCCCCCTGGTGGTCAGTGTGCATCATAGCTACCAGTCAGACGGTCGAATGGTTGCTTAGGCTTTTATATATACACTAGAGGCCCGGTGCATGAAATTCATGCACAAGGGTGGGGAGTTCCCTCAGCCCCGCCTGCACCCTCTCCAATCCAGGACCCCTCGGGGGATGTCCAACTGCCTCTCTCAATTGGGGACTGCTGGCTCCTAACCACTCGCCTGCCTGCCTGATTGCCCCTAACCCCTCTACTTGCCTGCCTGATCGCCCTTACCACCTCTGCCTGCCTGATCAACCCTAACCACCTCTGCCTGCCTGATCGCCCCTAACTGCTCCCTTGCTGGCCTGATCACCCCTAATCACCTCTGTCTCGCCCCACAACCGGGACCTAGGATTCCCTCCTCTGGTCAGTTGCAGGCACCTGGGACCCTGGCTTGGCCGCAGGCACCCAGGACCGAGGCCTCCTTCGCCCGGGCCGGCCACAGCCACAGGGTACTGTGAGCAGGCAGTTTCACCCAGGCCGCAGCTGTAGGCGCTGGCACCCGGGACCGCGGGGTGGGCGGCTTGTCCCTCTCCCGGGCTGTAGCCTGGTTGGTCCCCATTTCTCTCTCGCAAGCTCATTTGTGCCTGGCTGGTCCCCATTCCTCTCTCATAAGCTCATTTGTACCTGGCTGGTCCCCATTCCTCTCTCACGAGCTCATTTGTGTCTGGCTGATCCCCATTCCTCAGACCCAGTGTTGAGTGTCTGAGCCATTACGGTGTTACAGCATGAGGGCGTGATGACCATTTGCATATTAGCTCTTTATTATATAGGACTAGATATGCAATCTATCTGTGTTCTTTCATTGGCTTGCAGCTATTACTTAATTACAGGTATATAGGCAACATAGGATATTCTGGTGTATTAAATGTGTTGGTACTCAGGGGCTCTTAACATGAGTTCCACCAAATCCTACCTTCCTCAAAAGAGTCAAGAGACAGAACAGTACTTCAACAAAATTAGTTTCCTTGTAATCCTATGTATTTTATTTTGTGCATTTACAAGCCCTATACTGAGTAATTTATACATCTCACTTGATTACCTAATCGTCATTCATGACACAAAAAGATTTAGAACACCTGCTTGAAACCATCATATTGAAGTTAAATTAAAACTTACCACTGGTTCAAAACAAAATTACATCAAAGAAATCAAATTAATTTAGTTTAAATCTGTATAAAATAAAATGTAGCAATTTTAAGTGTAAATTTTTTAATGTGTTTTGACAAATTTATACACCTGTATAACCACCACCACAATCAAACTAGATTAACTTTTCTCTCATGCAAAATTTTCCATATTCCTTTCCAGTCAATTCTAAAACCTGCACCCTTGGCACCAGGCAACCCTTGATTTTCTTTCTCTCAGTACACATCAGATTCATGACTAATAATCAAAGTATATTCCATAAACTTATTTTATGGAAATGATTTTTAAGAACAACTGTTATGGGAACAATTTTTAAGAATAATTTGTATGGTGATGGTATTCCTTAAATTGAAGCCTCAACTTATTGTCAATAACTGATTCTAAAATATTTCCATGAGTCCGGCCAGTGTAGCTCAGCAGTTGAGCATCGACTCAGGAATCAAGAGGCCACTGGTTTGATTTTCAGTCAGGGCACATGCCCGGGTTGTAGGATCAATCCCTAGTAGGGGGCGTGCAGGAGGCAGACAATAGATGATGTTTCTCTCTCATCATTGATGTTTCTATCTCTCTCCCTCTCTCCCTTCCTCTCTCTCTAAAATCAATAAAAACATATTTAAAATAAATAAATAAATAAATAAATAAATAAATAAATAAAATATGTCCATGAAACTCACCTTATAAAAAAAATACTGTACAAGGGTAGCTATTCTAATGTAATAAAAGTGACCGTGAACAAAGAGCAACTTGGAGAGAAATTTAAATCTTGCTATTGCATAGTCACTGTTTCTTGCAGCTTGTCTTCCTTCTTTACCCATGATTCCTGCCAATAAAGGGGACAAAAAGGCAAATTCATTGATAACTGATAAGTACAATTTTCCCGATATATCTGTGAATATGTTAATTATAGCAGTTGAAGTTGGATTTAGGATCACTATATCCTAATATATAGTAGAGAGCAGATTTCCAAAAATTTGTTCTAAATCAAATATATAAATTAATAAAAACTACAATATATACTAGGCATGTAACATCAATTTTCAAAGGTTTAGAATGTAATATAAAATATAATTAATATAAAAATAATATTGAAAGTCCCGGATCTAATAAGAACATAAATTATACTAATAAGTTCAGAGTACTCGTTAATAGATTTCTAATGGGGAGGATGCTATAAAATAGCTTTAACTTCACTGAACATAAAAAATATCCAAGTTGAATAATTTGAACCTACCAAAAATGAGCAAGTTTGACTTCTTTAAATTTTTCATGCATAACTCAAACAAAATGATTTTTTAAAGTACACTATCATCTGAAATCAGTACATAATTTTATCTGATAAATGAGTACATTTTTTAGGTTATGATAATCTTTTAGTTTTCAAAACAGTTATTGCCAAGTTTACTTTTTAAATCTAGAAGCAGCTTTGAAAAATTATTTTTCAAAATTAAAAATTTTAATTTTTGTCATAAAAGGATCGAAATGTTTGAAAGTGTTATAGATAAAGACAACTATATTCACAGCATCTAGAAAAAAACCTATTTTTGGTATATATACTTTTAGGATTTTTCCTTCCACATATTCTATATGTCTGTACATTTATTATACATACAAATAAGTGTATAAAAAATGGGATTGTTTTGTAATCTACTTTTGTCTCTTAATATACTATTATGGACATTGTTTATAACATACGTCTTTGTCAACATATTCACATATTTTCTTCAAAGAAATTCTAGATGCATGACTGACAGGTCAACAGGCAAACGTTTATAATTTGACTCCCATAAACATCAAATAAGATAATTTACTAATCTATACCTTTACCAATTCCAGATTTTATCAATCTTTGTAATTTTTGTCACTCTGATAGGCAATATAAACTTGCATTCTTTAATTGTTAGTGAGAGACTGAACCCTTTTTTCATACATTTAGTATTCATTTTAGATTTCTCCTTTTGTGACAACTGATGGTTCACATCCTTCCACCTATTTCTACTATAGTATTTTTCTTATTAATTTGTTAAGAATTTACATATTAGGAATATTAAAACTTTGTCATCTATTTTGAAAATATTCTTTACTACTCTGTCTTTAAAATTTTGGGGGGACAGTATTTACTTTTGCCACACATATTGATCTTTTTCTTGCTTTGTTTGGTTTTGTACTTAATAGACCTTTTTACACCTCAAAATACAGAATTATTCTTTAAATTTTTCCTCTATTACTTTTTACGGTCTTTAACAAGTTTTATCAGTATTTTTTATCAAGTAAGTTGTTTCCCTACTTATGTTTAAATAGTTTTAAACATCTATCTGAATCTACTTAAACATCTGTTTAAATCTATCCTATTCACTAGTCTGTCTGCTAGCATACTAGACTCAAACTGTTATAAATACTGTAGCTTTTTATGCTTTAATATATGATATAGGAAGATATCAAATTGTTAGGGAGAATTATGGGAACAATTAACAAACTGGAAAGAAAATTAAGTTTTCAAAATGAAAATTTAATTATCCTAAAGAAGTAGGAGCTTATTTGAGATAAAATAGAAACATTAGACCCAATAACTACTCACAGGATATTACAGAAATGATTCCAAAACAGGACCAGTTACACTCTTTTCTAAAACTAAAAATTTATCCTTTAATGAAAAACCCATACTGTCCTCTTTACTTCTGTATTTGTATAATAAAATTAGTGAGAAAAACAGGTCAGAATATGGTTTAAGTAGTAAATGACTGATAATTTAAATATAAATAAAATAATTAGTATTCTGAATCCAATAAAAATGCTAGGCAAAAAAAGAAAAAAATTAGGATAAAGGTTATTAAGTCAGAAGGCTATTGGAATTTTGTATTTTACTAGAGGCCCAGTGCATGAAATTCATGCACTCGGGGGGCGGGGGGTCCCCTTAGCCTGGCCTGTGCCTTCTTGTAGTCGGACATCCTTAGTGCTGCTGTGGAGGAGGGCTCCCGCCACCACCGCTTGTCAGCCGTGAGCCCAGCTTCTGGCTGAGCGGCGCTCCCCCTGTGGGAGCACAGTGACCACCAGGGGGCAGCTCCTACATTGAGCTTCTGCCCCCTGGTGGTCAGTGCGTGTCATAGTGACTGGTCGTTCTGCTGTTCAGTCTATTTGCATATTAGCCTTTTATTATATAGGATTACAGTTTGGTATGATTTTCTATCTCTAAAGTTGTCTTTAAAATGAGCTGCAGAATCTTTAGATTGACAAAAAAATAACATTCTAAAACGAGAATTTAAAACCAGGAAGGTAACTATGTAAATCACAAATTTAGAGTTTAAAAGGGATAAAATAATATATGAAACTACTTTAAAAAGTATAAAATTACATGTAAAAATAAAGCTAATTTATGAAGGAGAATTGGAAAAGAAAAATTCATTAATGTGGTATTCATGTCTTTGAAAATTTGGAAATAAAATATTTGAAATATGGGGCTAATTATAATAGGTTTCTGGTAGGGAAACACTATATTACCATGTTGCATTCAGTTTTCATTCATGTATTTGATACTATACTTTAGTCTACCAAAGAAAAATTCAAAATCCCCAAATAATTATACCAATGTTAAAAGCTTAGGGAAAAAGGAAAAATCAATCACCTATGCCAACATGTGCTTCTTGTATCATGCTTACATCATTAGCACCATCACCAACAGCCAACGTTATAGGTTTCTCAGGTGAGATTTTTATCAGTCTTATTACCTGAAAGACATACAACTAATCAATCACGGTAAAATTTTAACTTCTTATATTTATAGAAAGTCATTTATCAGAAATGACTCTGTTGAAGGAAGTAGAAAAAAATTAATTTTATATTAGACAATAATATTCTCTATGGTTCATTTTTTGAGGGATGTCTCTTTCCACTACGATGTTAGAAATGTCTTTCAGAATGATATTGCAGAACAGTATTATCTTACATACACAGGCCATGGAAATGGGCAATAAGGGTAGTGAAGACCTGGGGGGATGGGTAGGGGCTGGGAGGAAAAGGGTAAAGGGGGACAAAGGAATGGGAGATATCTGGAATACTTTCAATAATAAAAAAATATTTAAAAAAAAACCAAAAAGCAAAAAACACACACAATATTATCTTGGATTTTATTATGGGAAGCAAAAATCTTTAAATACAGTTTACCTTTGTAAAAAGCTTAATAACTGTGTAAAAAGTAATAACTATTTGAACTTTGTTAGGCAAAGATAATTATTTTCAAAAATCTAAAAAGCAATCAAAATTAAATTCAATGAAATTTTAAAAAATGTTTATTTGAAATTCTTGAATGTACTTTTATAAAGAACCTAGATGTTAGCTCTGTTTGGTCTCCAGTTTTAGTCTCCATAGACTGAGGGGATATGTGTTATAATAATACTAGAGGCCCGATGCACGAAATTCGTGCAAGAGTAGGCCTTCCTTCCCCTGGCTGCCGGCACTGACTTTCCTCTGGCACCCGGGACCCAGGCTTCCCTCACAGCCCCGGCTTCGTCTGGAAGGTGTCTGGAAGGACGTCCGGTCTAATTAGCATGTTATGCTTTTATTATTATAGATAGGCATTATAAGAAAGTTCCATGAAGCCAAAAACTATTGAATGCCTAATTTATTAGATCTATATGTGAAACAACCAGTGTTTAGATGTACATTTCAAAGGATACTATTTGTGAAGGATACAGTCTAAGACCTCAAATTACAAATTTGGAGTTATAAAAAATATTTGTATAGGCTTTCACATAGAATCATAGCTGAAATTTAAATATTTTTGTATATAACTTAATATCACAATCGGCTTTTCAACTTCTTACTAAAGTTCTATTATTTAATAGCCATTTTAAATAAAGAGAATTATTTCACAATAATGCAAGAATAAGCAGAGATCAATAGAACCACTGAAATCTTATAGGCTCCCTCAGTTGGAAAGTAACTAAATTATGAAACTTTGGTTGTCACAGCTCAAATTTGTGTCTCAGGAAAAATCACAAATTGCTACCCATCACAGACTTTCTAGGTTATTTATTATGAATAGCTGAAATTTCTACAATGACTCTGAAAATTCCAAAAGTCTAAAAATGTACATGGTTAAAATTCATAATATGAGAAATGACTGACCCATAGTTAAGATTCATATACTGCATACCACCAAATACACCTAGTTAAGTCATTAACCTTAAAGAATACTTTTAGATCTATGTATCTTTAATTGAACTTTTTATAACACAAACATACCTTAGCTTTCTGCAGTGGTGCCATACGACAGCATAATACAGCTGAGCAATTTCTGCAAACATCCATAAATAATTTTTCATGCTCCCTGAGTGCAAGAGATAGACTGGTCCCATCCACCACCAGCCCATGCTGAATCACATGATCCTCTGTAATTCTAAAACAGAAAATAATTATGTCCTCTGAAGATACTTTGAAGTCATATTATTTACACTCGCATAGTAAACAAAAGATTCTTACTGAAAGATGGACCATTCATCTATAGACTTTATTATTACAAAACTGACATGTCAGGGAACAAACTAAATTGTATTACCTTGAAGTTAAGATTAAGTAGAACTGAGAGTGACTGATATGATGAATAAAACAGATGATATTCAATTTTACAATGTACTGATATGTAGACACAGTAACTATATTTTCTAAATGTGAGCTGTAACATATAATCTCAGTATATTCTCCCAAATTGTGAGTATACAGTCTTACAAAAATAAAAACATTGTTATATTTAGTAAATCCTAATTTTAAAAAATTAAATAAAAACATTCAGAAAAAATCATGAGCTAAATTATGAGCAAAGGGATGAAGGAATCATAACTGTTCTTGATATTAACTCCACAATGGACTGTGACATGAGATATTACTATGGTGAAACATGGATAACACTTCCCTTGTGGGCATATGCTATATGAGTACTACTCATGGTATGATTACTGGCAGCTGGGCAAACTATTTGTTGCCAGGAAGAGATAAGAAGCTTGCATCAGTATCTAAATCAACTACATTACTGACCACACTATTAGGTTCCACTGTTTCTCCCCACTCCCCTTCTGTAAAGATTTTCTTGGTAAAAGAAGCAATACACAGATTTACATTCTGGTGCAGGCATTGTATTTATTATTCAGAGACACTTTAATATATTGTTGAAGGCCAGCACTCAAAGTAGCATTGCGCTGCATCTAATTTGATAAAATAATCAACACTTGACTGTGATAAGTGTGATATTAGCTCTAGCCAGTTTGGCTCAGTGAATAGCGTGTCGGCCTGCAGACTGAAGAGTCCTGGGTTTGATTCCAGGCCAGGGCACATGCCCAGGTTGTGCTGGATCCCCAGAAGGGGGTGTGAAGGAGGCAGCCGATCAATGATTCTCTCATCATTGATGTTTCTCTCTCTCCCTTCCTCTCTGAAATTAATAAGAATATGTTTTTTAAAAAGTGTGATATTAAAAGTCCATTTTTCTTGTTTGGAGATCATGAGTAAATAATGATAGTTAAAATATAGTAAGCCCTGGCTGGGTGGCTCAGTTGGTTGGAGCATCGTCCTGTACACCAAAAGGTTGCAGGTTCGATTCCTGGTCAGGACACATACATAGGTTGCATGTTCAATTGTACGGGAAGCAACCAATTGATGTTTCTCTCACAACGATGCTTCTTTCTCTCTCTCTCTCTCTCTCTCTCTCTCTCTCTCTCTCTCTCTCTCAAAACCAACGGAAACATCCTCAGGTGAGGTTTGTAAATAAAAAGTAAAATGTTAGATGGCAGTATGTGTGGCACTCAAGACACTATTGAGTTGCTGTAACAGAAGTGTATCAAGCAGCAGTGAAAAATGATAAAAATGCTTCATAAGGTCTGTTGTAAATACTCAGCTGTGTTGCTATAGTGCAAAAGCCTTCACTGATGACATGTAAATGAATGAAGGTGGTTGTGTTCCAACAAAATTTTATTCACAGGCATCAAAATATGAATTTTATATAATTTTCACAACATGAAATATTATTCTTTGGATTCTTTTTCATCCATCAAATAATATAAAAATTATTTTGGGTTCATGGGCATTAAAAAACTGGCAGTGGGCCATAGTTTACTTACCCCTCAACTATCTAATTCAGATAATTATATTCTTACCTTCTGGCAAGCTGCCTCAATTGTTCAGCACATTCATTGTCTGATTTCTGGTTTATAAGTTCAAGGATATTCATGGTTCTGTGAAAATGTCCACATGATAAACTCACACTAACAGCAGTTTCACGTTTATCTCCAGTAAGTACCCATACTTTGATACCAGCCATTCTCAATGCTTCGATAGTTTCTCGAACTTTATCTTGCAGTCTGAAAATAAATGAAACAAAATTAGCAGTAGAAAATACTTTTCTGATTGTATTTTAAATATAAATCATAGAGTATAAGTAAGGTAAATTCTGGACTTCTTGACCTAAGAATGTTATAGTAACATTCAGTTCAGTGATAAAACTGAATTCCCCCCCGCCCCCATTAGGGAAGAGACAAGAATAACTAAATCAGTGATCATCTATTTAACATAAAATCTACAAACATGTCAAACTCTTGGCTGATGGGCCACATGCCTCATTTATTACAAACTCATATTTTAAGAATATATTTTCAAAGTTGATTTTTATAGTACCAATTAAGTATATGGCCTACATAAACTATTTTATTAGAAAGTCTTAAGTTTCACTATAAGATTTTTTCTCTCTTTTTGATAAGGAAATCTCTCATATCAGCAGTTCAAAAATTAGACTGTGGACAATAAAGGACTATGTTACTAACCTCAGGTGAGTCTCAGAAATTTCATGAGGATAACTGAAAAGTAAATGAAAACCTAGGGGTTTTTTTTGTTTGTTTGTTTTTTTAATGCAAACACACATAGATCTAAGCTAAGAGGTCGAGAAAAATATAACAGGATTAATTTGTTGAATTCAACTTAATTCACAGATTTCAATTTAACTCAAGATACTGTGAAACACATATTGAGAATGGTGCTGGAAACCAAGACAAAGAATAAATGGACCTCAAGAAATTCACAGGCTAATAAAGAACAAAGTCGTTAAACAAATAATCCTATATAATAAAAGCATAGGTGGCGTCACGCAACGTCATCACAAGATGGCCACCGCGACATCGTCACGAGATGGCCGCCACAAGATGATCACCACAAGATGGCTGGCAGGGGAGGGCAATTGGGGGCAACCAGGCCTGTAGGGGAGGGCAGTTGGGGGCAACCAGGCCTGCAGGGGAGGGCAGTTGGGATTAACCAGGCCTGCAGGGGAGGGCAGTTGGAGGGGACCAGGCCTGCAGGGGAGGGTAGTTGGGGGCAAACAGGCCAGCAGAGGAAGGCAGTTGGGGGGGACCAGGCCAGCAGGGGAGGGCAATTGGGGGTGATCACACCGGCAGGGGAGGGCAGTTCGGGGCGAGATCATGCAAGCAGGGGAGGGCAGTTGTGGGTAATCAGGCCAACAGGGGAGCGGTTAGGGGGCGATGAGGCTGGCAGGCAGAAGCAGTTAGGAGCAATGAGGCAGGTGAGCGGTTAGGAGCCAGCAGTCCGGATTGTGAGAGGGATGTCCAACTGCCAGTTTTGGCTCAATCCCATAGGGCCTATACTGGCAGTTGGACATCCCCTCCCCCTAGGGTTCCCAAATTGGAGAGGGTGCAGGCCAGGCTGAGGGACACCCCGCCCCCCCATGCACGAATTTCATGCACAGGGCCTCTAGTTGTAATATACTGCCACAAGGACAATGCAGATCTACAAAACATGGAGACTTCACAAAAAGAGCTTTTTAAATTCTGTTAGAAGTATGGAAAGGTTTTAGTGGAGTGAGGTAATACCTGAACTTTCCTATCTAATAAAGAGGGAATATGCAAATTGACCATCACACCATCATAAAGATGGCAACACCTAGTCCCCTCAGCCCTGCTGGAGTCCCACAGTCCTTTCAGCCCAGCCGGGGGGCGGGGGGGAGGGGTGGAGCACGGCAGGCACACGGTGCGGCCGGACCTGCCTTCAGCCCCCCAGCTGCCCAGGGCCGGTCCGAGGCGCTGCCCAGCCACCTAGGGCTGCCCGAGGCTCAAGTAACCAGGGCCAACAGAGGTGTGATGGGGGCATTGCCTTCCCCCGATCGCCAGGTCGCCTCCCGTCCCTCAGGGCTCCCGGACTGTGAGAGGGGGCAGGCCAGGCTGAGGGACCCCCCCACCTCCAGTGCATGAATTTTCATGCACCGGGCCTCTAGTACTTTATAAATAGGTATTCACAAATGGGTAAGAGAATGATCAGGTATAAGGCATAGCCTTGCCAAGGAACAAAGCCACAAAATAGAACAGTGTTAACTACACTTGTTGTCCAGAGAACTACAGACAGTTTGGTACTATGGAAGTATAAAGTGGAAGGACACAGTAGTGGCAGGTGAGGCCGGAGAATTAAGTAGGTGCTTAACGTCTTTGTATGGCACATACTGTAGAGTATCCTAAAAATTTAAGTCTATGGGCAAAATTATACATAGCTGTATTTTTTTCAACTATCTCAGATACCTTGCTAGAAGAAAATTATACACACTGATGGGAAAAAGGCCTTAACTGCTGATTTTCATTTTAAATATATTAATTACAGGATGTTAATAAATGAAATTTATGTCATAAATAAGGAACACTTGGCTAAAAAAATTCTTGAATGAGAAAAATGATATTGCCTATTTATCTGATACTTACCTGTCTTCTACTGCTGTAGCTCCAAGTAATATCAGGTCTTTCTCTATGAATTGGAAGGCATTTGCCAATTTCTCTTCCCGTCGCTGCAAGGCAGTCCTGGCTTCAAATAGGCGTCTATCTATTACCTCATACTCTTTAGATGTCAACTGTCTATAGGCCATGCACAGAGTTCTTAGCCCTTTCTAACACAGAAAAATTAAAGACAGAAAGTAAACAAAAATAACTAATGGGGAATCAAGAAGTCACTGAAATAAAACTGAGGACCCCAATACCAAAAATCAATTACAAATAATTTTAAAAGTACTATCATCTAGTGACAGAAAATAAATGAAGTGACACAAAGTCCTAGTGATCTGAGTTATGGCACACTTATTATCATAACTCTTTCAATTTCAAAGGAGTTCTTAATAAGTTGATCAAAACAATTAAGAAATTGTATATTAGAGAATAGATACAATCATAAGATTATCTTATCTGTGGTTTTAAAACCGTTTTACCTGGAAAGCCAGAAAGTTCCATAATGGTACCTTCATGATTATCAAGAGAGAGGCAGCCCCAGGTTCTACTTTTCTGTTTTAACCATTACAAATCCACTTTTCCCTACTTCATAAGAAATTTTTTAAGCAAAGGGACTATCATTTCCTGAGGGTTTATGGCAGGGGTGGGGAACGTCCGGGCCATAAAAGGTCTGGCCCTGCCAAAGCATTAGGAGTGAGTTAATTAAATGTTTGACCAAATATAACAGGCTAATTTTTAAGTTGATAATTTTGTATGGCCCACGAATTATGTTATAAATATGTAAGTGGCCCTTGCCAAAAAAAAGTTCCCCACTCCTGGTTTTATGGTATGACAAACTTGCAATTCAAATAAAGAAGTCTGTAAGGTGGCCATTATCAAACAACCGATACTTTCTAGAGCCACTAAATGATTTAAAATTGTATCATTACATCTTCACTGGTGAACTGGAATTACACAGAATTTTAAAATATATATGCTTGATTTTCTGATCCTACTGGGTTCAAATTTTTCTTATGGTATTAGTATTTGAAAGTTGGTATATAAATTTACAAGCTTATAAGAGTTCCTTTTCTTGCTATATAATTTCCTCAGAAAAACCCAAAGTAAATGTTCTAATTACAGAACTTGGAAAGGCAGATTTTAAAATACTATATGACACTATTTAGCATATTTCTAAATATTGGTATTTGTTGATTTGCAAATGATCCACACGTACATATAAATGCTTCTGTTAAAATAACATTTAAAGGACTATGAGATTTATTAACAAATAAACTTAATTAGTTTACTCTATAACAAACATTTATTGAGTATCAACTATGTGCCAGCATTGTTCTGAATACTGATATGATAGTAAGGTAAAACAATATCTTTGTTCTCATGGATGTTATAGTGTGGTAAATGAACCAGATCATAAACAATTAGGGAACAGTAATGGGAAAAAAGAAACCATAAGTAAAGGAGGCAGTTGAGCAGAGATGAGTACATAGCATACATTTAGAGAAAAGCAGGAATGAGAGATCATGAGGTCCTAATACTGAGCGAACTGCTTAAAAATTTTTCTATTCACATAATTTGTGGCACTTTGTTTCTGTAAGATTCCCCTACATTATTTCATTGAAAGACATAATTCATATACCATAAAATTCACTCCTCTAAAGAGGCTAATTCATTAATTTTTAGTTAACTCAAAGAGTTGTGTAATTATTTTAGCATTTAATTCCAGAATCTTTTCATCACACGCAAGGGAATTCCATATCCATTAGCAGACACTACACTTCCCCCTTTTCCTCTAAACTGTGGCAATCACTATAAATTTGCTTATTTTGGATCTTTCATATAAATGGACTCTGTGGCCTTTTGTGACTAGCTCCTTTCCCTCAGCATAATCTTTTCAAGGTTGATGCATGTTGTGGGATATATTAGTACTTCATTTCTTTCATTGGCCAAATAGTCCATTATATGGATATGACATATTATTTAATCCATTCATCAGTTGATTGACATTGGGTGTTTCCATTTTTTGGATATTAGAAGTACTGCTGCTGAGAACAGTTGTGTACAAGTTTCTGGTAGACATGTTGTCAATTTTCTAGGACAGTGGTCGGCAAACTACGGCTCACGAGCCACATGTGGCTCTTTGGCCCCTTGAGTGTGGCTCTTCCACAAAATACCGACTTCTGCGCATGGGCCACGAAGTTTCAATCGCACTGTATGTGCGTGCCTGCATGTATTTTGTGGAAGAGCCACACTCAAGGGGCCAAAGAGCCGCATGTGGCTCGCGAGCTGCAGTTTGCCGACCACTGCTCTAGGGTGTATGCCTAGGAGTGAAACTGCTGTATCATTTAGTATACTCCATGTTCTATGAAAAACTGCCAAACTATTTTCTAAAGTGGCTATATCATTTATATTCCCACCAGTGTATGAGGGTCCCAATTTCTCCACATCCTTGGGATTTCCCCTGTATTTTTTTAGTAACCCTCCCCACTTTTTAATATAGTAATCTGAGTGGTCCTTGCTGCTAGAAGTACCCTGATTATAATAGGTTCAAAGACAAGACACATTTTAACAGGTTAAAAGTCAACTTTTAACTAAAGAACATGGAGCCAACACATAATTCTATAATTTTTGATAAATTAATGCAAAAATGAGACCCCAAATCTTTCAAATATATATATATATATATATTTCAGATTTTTTAAATCATAGAAATTTTCACTCACCAAAGCAAATTCATCTACATGAATTCTTGTTTTTTCTATTTCTCCACCTATACATGTAGGGAGAATTGATGACTCAGCTCCTTTAGCAAATAAAAACTTCTCACCTAGAAAGAAAAATGAGTTATCAAGCTCTTAATATTAGATAAATAAAAATTCATAAAAGTTCAGGTTGGTTACCTGAAGGTGCCTGAACAATTACACTCATTCTCCTACGATCTGAATCAAATTCCAGAATATGAAGCAGTTTGTACCTAGTGGGGAAAAAAAAAGACAAACCTTTACTTTTTGAATAATATCAAGTAAATATTTAGAAAGAGTCCCTATTAAAGATAAAAACAATTAATTTAGAACAAGAAATTAACCTCAACTACATTTTCAAGATGACTGGTTATGAGTTATTACTAACAAAAGAAGATACAAATAGAAGGAATTAACATTTATTGAGCACTTACCAAATGCCATGCACATTACATATCGTATGTGCTTTAAGACCTATGAGAACCAAGGGAGGTAGGTCTTATCTCTTTTTACAAATGAGGACTATTAAACACAGAAAGATTAAGTAATTTGCCTAACGTCAAATAAGTTTGTGAGTGGAATCCAGATCTGTCCATAGCTCCATGTCCTTCTCACTAAAAAATGTAATTGATTCTCCTCTTTCTGCCCAAACACACCTAAGAAATACACTCACTCACATGAATAACAGAGGCTCATTATAGCAGTGATTCTGAACCTGGGACAGAATACATGTATATAGGTGGGGGAACAAATGCCTCTCTAAGGAGCAGTAAAAAAATTTGCATGGATGGGCCAGGTGTAGGCTAAAACCGGCCTGTGCCCTCTCACAATCCAGGACCCCTCGAGTAGGGTCCCTAGGCCTGGCCGGCAATCAGGGCCTATCAGAGCTTTCCTTCCCCTGGCTACTGGCAGCTAGCCCTGCCCCTGCCCCTGCCCCTGCCACTGCTTGCCATCTGAGCAGTGCTGCTCCTCTACCCCCCCACCCCCTCGCCTCCCTCTGTGGGCAACAGGCATGGGGTGCGATCGCTTGGCTGGCCTGGGCCTCATTCTGCGGGGCGATAGCTGGCCATCCCTGCACACCCACCACAGCATCACTGGCCAGTGGGAGATCGATTGCCCTGTAGAGTGAGGTCCTGCCCACCTGCCGCAGTGCTGCCAGCCAGGTGCCTGGGCCTCCCTCTGTGGGGGGATCAATCGTGGGGCTCTGCCATCAATGGCTCCTCAGAGGGAGGCCCCGCCCACCTGGCCGGGGCTCCATGATCGATCGCCGCGCAGAGGGACGCCCTGACCACCTGCCGCAGCACCGCCGGCGGGTATCCTGGGCCTCCCTCTTGGGGGCGATAGTGGGGTGATGATGGCCCCCTACCGACTGCATCGCACCTGCCTTGGCTGGCCTGGCGCCAGTGCGTGTCATAGCGTGGTTGTACGGAAGGCTGCCCGGATGGTCGATTTGCATATTATGCTTTTATTATTATAGATGATGTACATATGCAATGCTTTGCCCATATGAAAGATAAACACTGATTGGAATGATGGCTTCTAAGTTGATAGAATGAGCTAGACAGGCTCCCACATGAAAGCAGCCAAAGAAAAAGCTCTACTTAGTTTGGAAAAGCATAGTCTAAAAATGCACAGCCAGAGTTGAGATGACTAGAACTGATAAAATCATGAAAGAAAGATTTGACTGTAGTAAGAATGGGCCTAATTTATCATACAGTGGAAATAAGATAGCTGTTCTTTAATGTTTAAAAGATAAAATCATAGAAAATATAAGAAAGTTTTTCTTTATTAGTAAGAAACTTACAAAAATCATTTACCCTAGGAGTGTGTAAAAATAAATATAAATAAATTCAAGAACCATTAAGCTAAAATAGAGATGAAAGATTCAAAGCAGAATATTGTTATTACTGTGATGAAATACAATGTAATAATAACATCATTTTAGAGCAGGGTCAGTAAACTTTTTCTGTAAAGGGCCAGATAGTAAATATTTTAGGCGTTGTATACATATATGGTCTATGTTAGATATTCTTTCTTATTTTTTTTAAACAATCTCTTAAAAATGTAATGTAGTTTATGGGCTGTACAAAAACAGGCTGTAGGCCACAATTTACCTAAATCTGTTCTATACTAAATGCTTGATATATAGAAAATTACAATAAAGAAAATAATTACTGTTCCAGTTTTCCAAGTATTTTAACTTCCATAGTTTCTTCAGAATTGCCAATAAATACAATGCCAATCCTAGGATTGAAATGAGAAAAAAATATAAAAATTAGGGAATGATATTTCATGTTTCACAATATATTATAACTTAGTTTGAATAAAAATATTTAAAATACAAGTTTAAGATGGATTTTAAAATATTTCCTTTTAATATAGCACTATTTTTAAGAACTTGAAGGATCAGAGTAGGTCCAAAACAATACACATGTATTCTCACAGATTATATTATTCATATTAACCAGATTTTTAGAGATCACATCAAAATATGACTCTATTGCAAGCTTAGCAATTAATGACACATTTCAAATTCTCATTAAAAAAACTAAAATAAATTTCTACCTCTATGTGTTTATGAATTTTGTCTGACAATTCAAATACTAGTGTTTTCACATTTTTTATTTAAAAAGCTTTTTTCTGATGATTTGGAAATCAGATTAACCTACCTTGCAGCAGCTTCCACTAAAGCCTTTTCATCTGGTGAAGATGCATAGTACTCCAACTGGGAGGGTGCAAGGCTGGCTTGCCAGGGACCATCCCCAATGCCATCAGTCTGAACATTACTAATCTGTACAGTGTGACAGAGACTGACTGCTTTAAAGAAGAGATCGTGTTCTTTAATCTGTAAATACATAATTAATATTCACACTATCAATACCAATCCCAAATAACATTTAGAAAACCAGAAACAGAATTCTAACAAATGCAAATAAATACAGTTCATATTTTGGTAACCTAAGATCTAGAATAAGAATGCTACAATTTTGAATTGCCTAAATAACAGCTGGTTGCTTCTAACTTTAAAGAGTAAAATGTCACATTTGCTTATGACCCGTCAACTTTTTAAGAGGCATAACCAAATTGCAAGTAAAGGTGAAACTTCTCTTGTGGAAGAAGTGAGGTCTCAGAAAGTATTAAATAAATTTAAGCTCTGTCTCAGCAAAGTCTTCTTTACTCAAAGGCAGTAGGCTTTCCTTAGTTTAGTTCCATTTACAAACACATATTAAGTGACTGTAAATTCTCAGTATTAAACCAAAGGATATACATTTCAAATACATATTTCTTGCCCCACTAATACAAAGAGAACTATTTCAAATGAAACTCCTATTTATTAATTTAAAAATTGCTTACTAGTTCAGTTTCATTTTCAGGACTGGTTCCAAAAGAAGAACTGGATGTAAGATGGGGTAAGTTGTTAAGATGGGAAAAACTACTAAGATAACTTAAGTTTCCATCTGAAGAGTCTGGTGTTGGTCCTTCAGATACAAGTCTACCATTGATTTCTTGGTATTTTATGCCATTAATTGAACATTCCCGAAACTGCATCTCGTTTTCTGTCAGTGTGCCAGTTTTATCTGTAAACACATACTCCACCTAGAGATAGAAAAAACAACAACAAAAAAAAGAAACACACAACCTTTGTGTTCACAGTCCTATGTTAAACAAGAAAAGTTGGCCTCTGTCTCAAGTCAAGTCTGCCTATTAAAACTGATATATTGATGCTGATTCTGATAATCCATTAAATAATTAAAGATGCCATGGAAACAAAACAGGGTAACAGAAAATATTTTAAAATATATACACTTTGAAGTTTGTGGCATCTGTATGTGCATGTTCATCTGTGGAGTTGAATGTAGTATTAGTACTTCTTTTTATCTCCTGGATGTTTTTTAGTAGGACTCAAGGATGATCTCTGAGCATTGACTGGGTAGCTCATTTGGTTAAAGTATTGTTGTGATACGTTAAGGTTGTGGGTTCAATTTCCGGTCAGAGGATATACAAGAATCAACCAGTGAATACATAAATGAATGGAACAACAAATCAATGTTTCTCTCTCATCAATAAAAAATAAATAGAATGATCTATGAGCAGGGATGGAAGGCATGCTTTCTAGTAATGAACCTAGAATGTGAAAGGGAATCTGGTCCAGGAGAAATGGTATAGAGCTGGAAACAGAAACACAAAATGATAGCAACACAAAAAATGAGAGGTAGAAAGTTGTCTAAAATAGACAGACAGAGGAAATTGAAACTGAGGGCACGAAACAAACTCAGTAAAAAGGAGAAATGTTTAAAAATATCTTTTAAAAAGTAAATAAGACAAATAATTTTATTACTCTTTGAGATTAATTCTAGAAAACTAACCCTAAAAGAAGGTAGGTCCATAAAGAGAAGATTGAAATACTCAATTCTTGATACAACTAGAATTATGATGAGAATCTGCTTATTGCAATGATGACTTGAGAAAGAAGGCATTTGAAACAGGAGGTAGCTATCACAAAGGGAAAAAAACTATAGACCCCTTATAAAAATAGACACAAATCAAATCCAGAAACATATAAAAAGGATTAGATACCATGAACATGTGAAATTTATCTTTGGAATGAAAGACTGGTTCAACATATAAAACTCAATCAGTGAAACCCACCATAATAATAAATGGCACTTGATCTTTATTCTAATAATAAAATAATTATCTTGATAGATGTAGAAAAAGCATTTGACAAAATCCAATACTCTTTCATGATTAAAAAAACACTCAAGAAATTAGGAATAGACGCATACTCCTCAATCTGATAAAATGTATCTACCAATACCCATGTAACATCTTACTTAATGGAGAAAGACTAAATGCTTTCCCTCCAAGTTCAGGAATAAAACAAAGATGTCTGCTCTTGCCACTTTTATTCAACACTGTACTGAAGGTCTAATCAGGACAACTGGGCAACAAAAAAGAAAAGGTATTTATTTGGAAAAGAAGAGGTAAAACTATCTCCATTTGCAGATAACACGACCTTGTATATAGGTCATGGAATCCACTGAAAAAACTACTAGAACTAACAAGTGAGTTCAGCAAAATTGCAGAATAAAAAGATCAATATATAACAAGGGAGGTAGAATTAAAGTTTGAACAAAATTGTTTTGACTAAGACATAAAGATACATGAGAAACTATACCTCAAAGTTCATTATTTTGGAAATAGTAAAGGTAAACAGAATAATTAAGTAACATACCCCATCATATACTAGTAACTAGCAAATGGTGAAACTAGAAATAAAAGATAATATACTTTACCTTTGCTATGTGATATTAAAGGTTGCCCAGTATCTATAGCAAATGTTGAATTGTAATTTAAAGAAGGATATCTTAGGAGGTGTCACTTTCTTTATGTATATTTTATTGATTTCAGAGAGGAAGGGAGAGGGAACATCAATGATGACAGAGAATCATTAATAGGCTGCTTCCTGCAACCTGAGCATACTAGTATGCCCTGACCGGGAATTGAACTGTGACCTCCTGGTTCATAGGCCGACACTCAACCACTGAGCCACACTGCCTTTATTTATTCAAGTTAATAAAAAACTTTTAGACTAGGAAGAATGAGAATGAAGTATTAAACAAATATGATGATATAAAATACATCACCAGTCAAACAAATAACAGCTTTAAAATTGAAAAATGGAAAACAAAATTAGATGTGGAGCAAAGTAGGGCTGTTTTTGGTAAAAGCCTTCTAATGTTTTCTGTTTTATTAGTCTTTGCACATGTATTGTTTTGATTAAAATAACAAGTCAGGAAAACAAATTAAAAGGGTCATTACCTGTCCAAGCTCTTCATTCAGATCAGAAGTATTGACTTGAGCTTTCTGACCTGATTCTTCATGATAGAGATCAAGATCCCAACCAATAAAAAATGATCCAAGAAATTTCTGCATTTCGACTGTCACATATAATGAAATTGGAATGATGAAATTGTAGAGTACCAAAAAAGCAAGGAAGTCTGAAATAAATCTCAGAATCTAGAGGGAAAAATGATTATTTGATATGTGAAAATATAAAACTATGTTCAGTATTACTGCAGAAAGTTATCAGAAAGTTTCATGTCCAAACAAGACCATTAACTATATTTTGAAGCAGAATAATCTCATGGATTAAAATTCATTTATTGAGTTGTCTTTTTAACACATTTCCTTGGTAGTTTTATTGCTCATTAGACTCTCAAACAAAGTTAAAGAAAAAATTGGTTACATTCAAATTATTTAATTTGTTACTTTTCAGAAGCCACCAAAAACCTGGTGTGTCTAAAACTGCTTTTAGCAAAATTTTAATTATAACCTCTGGAATATGCTTACCATTCTACTTTTACTCTTCAAAATTACAGATAACTAAAAATTGAGTGTAATTTTTAAAAATTATGAAATTGCTAGCCTGGAACTGCTAGAATTTAAAACTCTTAAATTACAGGTTACACAGAAGTAGCCTACTTCAATGGCATAGTAGTACCACATTTAACATGCATTCTGTGAAAGGTCCTGAAAATATGTTCCTGAGATTATCTGCTTTGTGGTCTCTTAAGATCCAAATTTGTATTCCAGTATTTGTATTTTAATCTAAAGTGAAATTTGGAGAACAATTATTTACCCAAATTGTAGTCCATATTTAATCAGTTTAAAACTTTATATGACATAAACTGTGTTCTTAACTTCATTCTATCAATAGACTGACAATAAGATTCCTTGAATTATTCTGACAGAATTGAAAATAAATCAACTTACTCTTTATTTCACTTATAACATACAGAAATAAAAAACTGAATTTGTAGTATTCAAGTGGATGCCAATACAGATGACTTAAATTTTTGTGATCTCTTGTAACTATTCAAATAACGACATAGAAAATGTAACTGTTCATGTCCTAAAGTGTAAATAGTATACCAATACATACAGGCTGGCTACCCTTCATTTGCAATGTCATTTGTTTTTATTTTTTCATCTACTGTGATTCTTTTATTTCAATTACAGTTTAATTTCAATATTTTGTATTGGTTTCAGGTGTGCAATGTCCTTTTGTCATCCTTCAATAGTAATGGTTTTAGGAAGGTCAGAATGGTCACTCCTATCAGAAGTTTCCTTTACAGCAGCAGAGTCAAGAACAGAATAAAATACCTTACTACTATTTCTCTGATGTTCTGTTTTTTGGTTATACCAAGGTTCATCCCATTTTTCTTCAGTTTGCCATGTGTATTTCAAGATAGTACTGATGATGGCTTCAGAAATAAGGATTATTAGATAAATTATCAAAAATGTATTCATTGACCTGAAATGAGAAAAAGAGAATATAAAACGTATCAATTATGTGCTACTATTCACTTTAGATTAAAATATAAATACTGGAATACAAATTTGGATCTCAAGAGACCACAAAGCAGATAATCACAGGAACGTATTTTGAGTACCTTTCATAGAATGCATGTTAAAATGTGTTACTGCTATGCCACTGAAGTAGGGTATTCCTGTATAATACTGATATTAAATAAGATATTAAAATATATGATATTATGGTAGCTATTTAAAGCAGTGGTCACCAACCGGTGGTCCATGGACCACTGGTGGTCCGTGAGGTCCGAAAGGTTGGTGACCTCACTGATTTAAAGGACACAGTCTTTGTTTTTAAGAAATGACCATTCAACAGAATCTATACCAGCAATAAAATAACCAACACATCTATATCTATAATAATAAAAGGGTAATATTATAAAAGGGTAATATGCTAGTTAGATCGGACCTCTTCTGATGAAGCCGGGGCCAGAGGGAAGCCAGCCTGGGTCCCAGGTGCCTACGGGCAGCCTAAAGGAAGCAGCACGGGTCCCAGGTGCCAGAGGGAAGCCGGTGCCGGCAGCCAGGGGGAAGGAAGGCCTACTCTTGCAAGAATTTTCGTGCATCGGGCCTCTAGTAAGATTATAAGCCTATTTATAGTTATGTTACTGTTCAAAACACTAATACTACATGATAGCTTTGGCCAGCTGTTTTGGTCTAAGTAATTATTTTAGGATTATTTTATATTTTCAGTACTTAGGTAATTTTAAGTGTAAACATAACTAACACATCCACTAATTTGTCTAATCTTTATAAAAACTCTATGAGGACCAAAGCCCAAAAATCATTCTGTAAATTTCCCAAATTCACCCAAGTCAGGAATTGACTTTAGATCCCTCTTCTTTTCACTGGACTAGCTTAATATTACAATATTTCACTAGACAAGAATAATATTAGGTCTTTGTTTATTTTATCAGCATTTTCTAATTTTCAGCATTCAGATCCTATATGTATTTTGTTAGACGTACATCTAGATATATTTCATTTTTGGGAATGATTGCAAATAGTATAGTTTTTAATTTCAGTTTCTATTATTGGTGTTTCTTTTCTAATATTAGTATTTGTGCTGTGACAGTTAATTTTATGTGCCAACTTAACTGGGCTAACTAAGAGAGGCCCATATTGCTGGTAAAACACCATTTATGAGTGTGTCTGTGATGGTGTTTCTGGAAGAGATTAGTATTTGATTCAGTAGACTTAAAGAGATATGCCCTCACCAAGGTAGGCAGGCATCATCTAATCCATTGAGGGCCCAAATGGATCAAAAAAGGTGAAGGTAGGGTGAATTCTCTCTCTTTTAGCTGGGCTATCAGAGCTCATGGTTCTCAGGGATATGGACTCCAGGTAATACCCACTGCCCCGTGGTTCTCTGGCCTTTGACTCAGACTGAATGACACCATCGACTTTCCTAGTTCTCCAGCTTCAGAAGGCAGGTTGTTGGGTCTCATGGCCTACGCAAATACTTTGTGAAGTATTTATTTCTAATAAATACTTTGTAAAGTATTTATTTTCAATTCTGTCAGAATTCAAGGACTCTTATTGTCAGTCTGTTGATGGTATGAAGTTAATAATACAATTTAAGTCATATAAAGTCTTAAACCGATAAACCAGGTGAGCCAATTCCTATAATAAATTTCCTATTTATAACCTACTACTTCTGTTTTGTTTTAGTTGCATCCTACAAAATTTAATACACTGTATTTTCACTAATTTCTAGATATTTTTAAAAATGTTCTTTGAGATTTCCTCTTTGATCCATAGATTATTTAGAAGAGATCCAGTTGCTTCATATCCTTGCTAAAACTTGGAACTTTTAGTCTTTTTAATTTTCAGCATTTCCAGTGTGTTCTGGTATCACTTTGTAGTTTTAGTTTGTATCTCTCTCATAACTAAATATTAATGAACAATTTTTATGTGCTTATTGGCCATTTGCGTATTTTCTTTGTGAAGTATCTGTTCCAGTCTTTTACCCATTTTTTTCATTGGGCTGTTTTTCTTTTTTTTTAATGGATTTATAGGAGCTTTCTATGTATTATTATATATTCTAGATACAAGTCCTTTATCACATATGTTAGAAGCCCAGCACTCGAAATCATGCAGCCCCGCCCACCCGCGCCAGTCTTTGGTCATTTCGGTGTTAGGGCCACGGGCCTTTTATAACATAGATGTTTTGAGAATACTGTCTTCCAAAACAATATGCTTGCTCCTTTTCTTAAATGAACAGTCTGATGAGCAAAACTTTTAAAATTCATGGAAGTTTATCAATTTTTTCTTTTTAGAATGGCTATTGTCATCAAGGTAAGTAAAAACAAGTGTTGAATGGAGAGATTGTGGAGAAAAAAGAACCATCGTTCACTACTGGTGGGAATGCAAACTGTACAGCAGGTAGAGAAAACATTGTGGCAGATCCTCAAAAAATTAAGAACAGAGTTACCATATGACTCAGCAATCCTTCTTCTGGGTACCTACCCAAAAAATTTGAAAACATGTATTCACAAAATATATGCATCCCGTCTTTTCATTGCAGTATTATTCACAGTGGCCAAGACACAACCAAAATGTCCTTCAGAAATAGATGATTGGACAAAGAAGATGGTGTACATATATACAATGGAATATTACTCAGCCATAAGAGAAGATGAGATACTGCCATTTGCAAAATGAATGAACCTTGAGAATATCATGCTAAGTGAAATAAGTCAGTCAGAAAAAGCTAAGAACCATATGATCTCACTCATATGGGATATAAAACTGAAACTCATAGACACAAACAACAGTACGGTGGTTACCAGAGGGAAGCGGGTATAGTAAAGGATAAGGGGGGGACAAATATATGGTGACAAAAGATGATTTGACTTTGGGTGGCGGGTACACAATGCAACAAACAGATCATGTATGAGAGAAATGTACACTTGAAATTGATATAATCTTACTACCTCACTGATCTATCCTTATGATCCTTTGGATGAAATCTTATTAAGTTTAATTAAAAAATAAAGTCAAATAATGTAAATCCTCCAGCCTTCTTTTCTTAAGAAATTTTCACTATACACTCTGCATTTACATTTTTGCTATTGCATTTCAATATTGTTTAGAATTACCCTGTCAACTACTACAAAAAGGCTTTCAGAATATTAATTAGCACTAAAAAAATCTACACATCAACTGACCGCTCAAGATTACTGAGCCTGCTAAACTATTAATGTGATTTCTCATTTTGGTATTCTTTAATATCTCTCACTATGTTTTACATTTTTCTTATAAAGATCTTGCACAAGTTCTAAAAAATTTATTTCTAAATAATTTATGCTTTTGACACTACTTTATATTAGAACTTTTAAAAAAATTTAATTTTCCTACTGTTTTCTATTATCCTATCTAATAAAAGGCTAATATGCAAATAGACCCAATGGTGGAACAACCGGTCCCTATGATGCGCACTGACCACCAGGGGGCAGACGCTCAATGCAGGCGCTGTCACCTGGTGCTCAGTGTGCTCCCACAGGTGGAGCGCTGCTTAGCCAGAAGCCGGGCTCACAGCTGGCAAGCATAGTGGAGGTGGTGGGAGCCTCTCCTGCCTTTTCGGCAATGCTAAGGATGTCCAACTGACGACTTAGGCCTGCTCCCCACAGGGAGCTGTCAGTTGGACATCCTGAGGGCTCCTGGACTGCGAGAAGGCGCAGGCTGGGCTGAGGGACACCCCCACCCCCCAAGTGCACGAATTTTGTGCACTGGGCCTCTAGTATAGATATAAAATAATTTTTTTAAAAATTTGACCCTGAGACCTTGCTATACTCACTTATTAGTTCCAACAGTGTTTTTTTGTTTGTTTTTTTAAAAATATATTTTATTAATTTTTTTACAGATAGGAAGGGAGAGGGATAGAGAGCCAGAAACATTGATGAGAGAGAAACATCAGCTGCCTCCTGCACACCTCCTACTGGGGATGTGCCCGCAACCAAGGTACATGCCCTTGACCGGAATCGAACCTGGGACCCTTCAGTCCACAGGCCGACGCTCCATCCACTGAGCCAAACCAGTCAGGGCCCAACAGTGTTTTTGTTGAATGTTTACAACTATGTAAAAAATCAGGTCTTCTAACAGGAACAATTTTCTTCTTACTTTCTAACATTTATGTCTTTTATTTATTTGTCTTATGGCATTAAATAAGGCTTCTAGGAACATGTTGAAAATAATAAGACTGATATTCTGGATATGAGTCCTTTATAAGATACTAGTGCCCTGGTGCATCGATTTGTGCACATTGAAGGAAAATTAATTAGAAGGTGGCTGGTGGGGCGGGGTGGGGCGGGGCAGGACTGGGCAAGACTGGCTGGACATGCCCTGGAGCCAACCTCCCTTGGTCCCTCCCCGGCTGGCTGCACCTGGGGTGGTGCCAGCTCAAAGGGCATCTGCGGAGTGAGTGGGGCCCTCTGGCAGGTGGGGCCCCTCAACCTGGGCTGCGGGGATTGGGCCAAAACCGGCTCTCTGACATCCCCCGAGGGGTCCCGGGTTGCGAGAGGGCAGTTCTCGGGTGATGCACCCCGGAATAGGGCTCCCTCCTCCTCTCTGGTACTGGGGTGCGTCACCCAAGAACTGTCGCTGCCAAGTCACTGCAGCTCAGCAGCTCCTGTGTTGAGCATCTTCCCCTGGTGGTCAGTGCGCGTTATATCTACCGGCCGGTCGGCTGGACACTTAGCCTTTTATATATACAGATGAGCCTTGCAAATATTTTCTCCTAGTCTATGGCATGACTTTTTTCATTTTTCTAAAAGTGTCTTTTGAAATGCAGAAGTTTTTAATTTTTATGAAATTTAGTTATCAATTTGGGGCTTTGTTTTTCGTTCACTTTCTTTGGTATATTTCCTATCTAAGAAATCTTTCCTTAATCCAAGGTCACAAATATTTTCTCCCATGTTTTATAGATTTAGCTCTTATGTTTTAAGTTTTACATTTGGAGTTAGTTTTATATATGGTGGGAGGAAAGGGTCAGTTTTTGAAAAATAGGTGTCAAAATGTTCCAGCACCATATATTGAAAGACTCACTATCTTTTTGTGTGGAGATATTTTTTACAATAAATTATATGTCTTTGATAGATACAAGGTGGTTTAGATTTTCTGTTTTATCCTGTGTCAATTTCTGGAAGTTGTGTTTTCAAAGAATTTGCCATTTCATTAAGGAAAATTTAGAGCCATTAAAGTTGTTTATATTTGTCTGTGGATACAGTGACCACAGTAGGTAAGATCTATAGTGACAGCCTCTCTTTCATCCCTAATATTGGTAATTTTCCAGTATTTCTTTCCTACAACTCACCCCCCCACCCCCATTCCTCAATGTAGGTAGACATTTATCAATTTTATTAATATTCTTAAAGAACCAACTTTTGGCTTTGCTAATTTTGTCTATTATTTTCTATTCTATTGATTTCAGCTCACATCTTTGATATTTCTTCTCTTCTCAGATTGGTCTAATAGCTCCTCTTTATCTACCTTCTTAAGGTAAAAATTTAGATGACTGATTTTAAGCTTCTCTTCTTCTCTTAAATAAACTTTCATTGCTAGAAATTTCCCTCTAACCTAGGCTTTTGCCTTTCTGTTGTTGTTTTTTGGGGGTGGAGGGTGTGAAATTTTAGAAATTTTCAATTATTATTTTTTCAAATATTTTTATTCTGTCCCTTTTCTCTTCTTTTTCAGGGAGATTATACTTATGCTAGACAACTTAATACTGTCCCAAATGGCTCTAAAACTGTTCATATTTCTCTGTTCTACAGATTGAATAATTTCTGTTGCTTTTTGAAGTTCACTGACAATTTCTGCTTTCTTCAACCTGGTGTTGAGCCCTTCTAATAACATTTACATTTCAGTCATTACGTTTTTCAACTCAAGAATTTCCACTGAGTTCTTTTTTTCATAGTTTCCATTTCTCTGCTGAGATTTCTCTTATGTTCATTGACATGTCCTTTAGACTTTGGAAACTATTTATAATATACTAGAGGCCCGGTGCACAAAAATTTGTGCACTCGGGGGGCGGGGGGAGGGGGTCC